CAAGGTAAATGAGAGGTTTTACTGACTTTTTGCGGATGTCGCCCATTTCAGGAGCAGCGAGGACTCCTACAACAAGATATGTTCCCTTACGCTCATCTAGACAAGCAAGAACCAACGGTAGTGCCTTCTTACGAGATCGAGAGATGTTCATGGGATCAATCTTGTCACGCGTAGCTTCAACAAGCCAAAGGGCGAGTCGAGATAGATTGCCCGGATGCACAAATATCTGAAGATCTGGGCCTTCTTTGAGCATGGCTAATTGGAATGTGCGCATCCTTCGAATCTCCGCTTTCTCAATAAGCGAAGACCCTTGCCTGATGACTGCTTTTTGCAAAGCCATGGACAATTGCAACGAAGATTGCAATAGTTCCGTGCTAGAGGAGTATCAGGCCCCGACTCTGGTGAGCAGCACGACACTCACTCGTTTCCTAAAGCATCAAAAGCGACCCAGAAATTATTTTTCCACCATTCGTCTTCGTGATCTGCAGACTGACTGGCAGTCGGTCCGTTACTCCTGGAGCCATTCGCATCCCCATTCGCCCCTCCCCTCATTTCTTTATTGTCATCTCGCCTCATTTGCCACTGTCTACCAGTTCCAAACCATTCTCCACCGTTACGGCTACCTTCTATCTCGATATCGAGTTGGAGTCCTCCAGCTGCCTCAAGTAGAGCGCTTACTCCATCTACTACATCGGCAGCACACAGAGGCTGAGATTTGAATCCGAATGAACGGACAAACGATGGGTAAGATAACTCGATTAAACCATATTCAGGGGCGATGTCTTCCATCTTCTGGCGCAGTTCTCTCTTCAACTCGGTATCCATATGAGAGTATGATTGCTGGCATTGAGTGAGTGAGAATCTGTATCAATACCTCGATGAGCCTAGGAGTTACGTTGTAGAATCGTCACATACCCCATTTTTGCCAGTAACCCGTGTAATCGTTTTCGCCCTCTCTCTTTCCAAATTCCTAGTTTACTCGCTACGTATGGCGAGTGATACATAGCATCGTAAAGGTTCCAATGTCTGAACAAAGCAAATCTCAACTCTTCAGATGGTCTGATGGAGGTATCGTCGGGGTGAGGAGTCGACGTCGAAGATAGAGGGGGGTTCAGTCGTGCAACCTCATCAAAGTATATTTTGTGCCAACGGTCATATGATTCCCGTGATATGCGACTGGTAAGATATTGATAAGTTAGTCCGAGAATCGTTAGCCAAAGTAAATCGTTATCCACTCTCTCGAGGATTGTTGCCAATATATAAATGGTGCTGGAGGCTGCTTGTGTATGAAATGTGCCACTGGCATAATATCTCTCCAATTTCTCCGTATGTTCGTCATACTGATCCCTCGTCATGCGTTTAGGTTTCTGTTCGGCCTATAGAATCTTAGAATGAAAAGAAAAGGTCGCATCAGGTGGCTCACGTCTTCATTCAAGCGTCGTCTCTTTCGAGGACGTTCTTGTTCATCGTCATCATCTGAATTCAAACCTTCTTCACGGTCTTCTTCACTCTCATCTTCTGAGTCCGATTCATCTGAATCTGGGAGAGGTTCATACTTGAAAAGGTCAGCTTTCGTCCACCAATGAATGGCCATACTTTACCTCGATGGCGTACCAAGCACCACGTATGTCGTCGAGCTTAGAAGCAGTATCATCATCCCATACTATGACACGCTCTGCAGGTCCAGCACCAAAGAGGCTGGACAAATTATAGGGTCGGCAAGAGTCGATAACGTGAACATGCAGAGAATCTGGGAAGGACCCAAACCAAGCTTCTGACGGGAGATCGAGATGAGCTCCAAAATTGATAAGAACCAGTGTATGGAGCTGAAAAACGCGTAAAGGACACGTATATTTTGCATAGTGATATCATTAGCATGGACGTTGCGCAGGGGTCACGTTTGCACAAACCTGTTCGTTCTGTGATAATTCATCTTTTAATTCTACTAAAGCTGCAAGTCCGGCCACGGGTGTGATCCTATGCGTGATATTGTCCTGTTTTAGAAGAGTGGCCAGCATGCTCGCCGCACACAGCGCGTCGACATCAGGAGCGACAGCGATGAGGATTGATGAAGCTGAAGCAGCACGGTGCTGAGATACGATTGATTGATATGCATTCCCATAGTTGTCTCCCGTCACAAACATAGTCGATGGCTGGGGTCAGCGCGGTTGAGTTTGAATTTTGCTCATGGCCACTGCCCTGAATGCCTTGGTCCAGTCGCTTGTGCCGTCCACAAGACGCGATGAGCGCCTTAAGGCAGATCTCGTAGAAGATGCGCTACATATACTTAATAGGTATGCTGACGAGCTGTCGCCATCTCGCCGCTCAACCGTTGCAGCCACATTGGTGGATCCCGGCAGGTCGACATTGGCCTCATATCCGCGAATATTCGAAGCAAATGTCCGATGATCTCATTTCAACGCGTTTTAATGTTACTGAAACTACTCTCGTTATAGTATCTGTTCAGGATTCATTGCGCTTCTCGAACTTGTTGGCCCGCCTGTTGGATCAGGTGTGTTGATCCATTCGCTTCAAGCCAAAATGCTGATACGCCACTTCGAAGGACTTGTTAATGAGAAAACACGCGGTGTTGCAGTTCATGGCGGCTCTATCCTCTTCCCAAGGCGTCCCGCCAACTCCCATCATACCTCCTTTAATCCCTTCCATTTCGCGTGCATCTCCTCAAAGCCCACTTCCCCGGTCTAGGCGTCCATCGTTTGGAACACCTGCTGATCGTTCAATTTCAAAGTCAAAGGCCCAAATACTTCGTGAATATAGAGCCAAACATGGACGATCTCACATACCCGAGCCTCTTCTTTTGAGAGATGCCCTCTACTTGCTACAAGGAATATCTGGGAAATATGTAAAGTTCTCAGACGGTAAGAATGATTCGGAAGTCACCGTCGTATTTACCGATGACCCAGTGAGTAGTTCGTATTTGGTTATGTGATTTGTCTATTCTGAATGCCGACAACTTAGAGAATCAACTTGCCTAGTCCTACTCGTGCTTTGATACTGAGATTATCGGAACTGGGTCACCTGTATGTTCGAGTCTCAAAATGGGTTCGTGATCGTGATGGTCGTCCAGGCGTTGGAATGATTGAACAGGCGAGTCGTTGATGACATTCTTGAGGCTCGATAATGAACTAGATTCTATAGAGCCTATGTCATCACCTTCAATCGCAACTTACCGAGTATTATCGACTTATTGCAGTGTTAGAATCACAAATGTCACAATCTCAAGGAGATATGAATGACCCGCGACCTGCGGGAATCAAAGATGAAGAGAGTGGCCTTACTCTTCGTAGGTTGGAGGTTTGGGTGGACGAATGGAGATTGCGCATGAGAATGATGAGTGTCTGTGTGGAGGGCTGTCAAGGTATGTTCTGAATTGATCGTCTATATGACTCGAATTGTTTATCATTTATTCAGAGAGCTCGGGTGGTGCGCTAGTGAGCTTGATATACGGTTACACGGACAATGGGGATCCATTTGTTCGAAAGTTCACCGATCAACTGCTAGAAGACGTGCGTTTAAGGGGTCATATGTCTAACAGTCGTATCCTAACGTAGTATATCCAGGTATCCAAGCCTTTCTTCCAAATGCTCCAGAGATGGCTATTTGCTGGAGAGCTCCACGATCCGTACTCAGAGTTTTTCGTGGCTGCGAATCCCGAACTCGCACATCTTCAATATACACATGCCTCGTCCAACGCTAATACTGGGACACTTACCGGAGATGGAGGGTTTGCTGGTGTGGAAGATGATGAAAGGAACGAGTCCGACGAGGCACGTAATAATGGTCTCAAGCTTTGGGAGGGTAAATATCAATTTAGATCCGAGATGCTGCCTAGTTTCGTTGGCGAGGCATTTGGAAAAAAGGTAAATTCTTCTCATATGTGTCTTCCCAAGTACTGACATTAGACAGATATTTTCGACTGGGAAGAGTCTCAACTTTATTCGATACAGCTGTCACGACTCAGACTGGATTGCCACTCGAAGCAAGCTTGACCATACTGGGCGAAGTCAGTTCCTTATTCAAGTAAAATAAGTCCTTCTAATCCTCTCCTGTAAAGCTCTCAAGTACAGCGATCTACCTGGACTCGTAAGGTCTATCGACTCGGCGTATCAAATC